CGCCCCGGGTGTGGTGGATGTTCCGGGTGTTCGGCCACAGCTCGGTGTCGGTGCTGGACGGAGGGATGCGGGGCTGGACGGCTGCCGGCGGGCCGCTCACTGCGGAGTCCTGCCGGCCGGAGCGGACCGACTTCAGGGCGACTCTGGACCGGGCCTGGGTGAAGAGCTACGAGGAGGTTCTGGAGAACATCCGGACCAGACGGGTCCAGGTGGTGGATGCCCGAGCAGCCGGTCGGTTCCGGGGCACCGAGCCGGAACCAAGAGACGGTGAGCAGAAGTAAAATATAAATGTGAAGGAAAGCAGGTGAGAGCTGATCAGCTCTGACGTCATTCAGCAGTTTCAGTATTTTTAAACCAAAAACTGTCTGAAGTCTGTTTGCAGCTTCTTCCATGTCAGCATCTTCTGGTTTCTTTCTTCCTCTCTGACAGTAAACTGAATATCTTTGGACAAAACCAGACGTTGGTCATCTGGGGCCGACTGATACTTTTCACCATTTCTGGATGTTTTAGAGACTAAACAAGAATTAATTCAGTTCATAAAATGTCAGGAAAAGATGTTCAGCTGCAGCCCTGAACCAGCCTTCATCAGACCAAACTTCACTGGAAAAAAGTCCAATTTAATCCAGACAGATGAGTGAATCCTGACTTTTAGCTCTGGTTTGGTTCTGGTTTGTCAGATCTTCTAGAAACACGATCAGCTGATCGCAGCAGCTTCACTGATCCATAAGTCAGAGGAAGAAGAAGAAGGTTTGTAGCTGCAGCGACTGAAACCTGATCCATGTTGATGGTTTACGTCGGTCTGTGGAGGAACACTGACAGCTGCACAGTTGTTATATAATAATATCTGTGTGTGTCTGAGCAGTCTGCAGCTCCAGCTGAGGTCTGACCAGGTGATGTTCTCCAGGTGAGCTGGGAACGTCCTCTCCTCGGTCAATCTAGCTCCGCTAGAGGTCAAAGGTCACTTCAAAGGGGTGGAAGGTAGATCTCTGGTGTTTGGTGCAGATGAGCAGCCATGTTGGGGCTTTCTGTTGGTGATGGAAC